GCTAAATATTTACCGAGCCGTTTTAAAGTTCCACCGCTCCGACTGGAGATATATCGAGATTTGCTCACCAGGAGCGTTATGGCGCGAAAGGGTTAAGAGCTCGACGCGAAGTCCGTCTCTCGCAATCGCATCTGCCAGTTCGCGCGCCCATTCCTGCAGTGTCCACGGCCGCAGGCCAAGGAGCTCGGCTCCTCGAGAGCACCGGCGGACGACGATCGGCTCCTCAGCAGTGGGACGCCGAGCTGGAGGCTCGGCCCGGAGCTCGCGCGGGCACGTGGAGCTTTCCGCTCGGGCCAGCAGGAAACGGGCGCCCCGCACAGCGACGCCCGCCGTAGAGTGCCGAGAGCTCGGCTCGACGCGAGCGCCGAGGAAAAGCGATCGGCTCCGCAGCAGTGGGAAACCGAGCTGGAGGCTCGGGCGGGAGCTCGCGCGAGCACATAGCGAGGTGCGTGCGCGGCGGCGTGACACAGGTGAGCGGGCAGCTGGCGCACATTTCGACTGTGGGAGCTGCCCAGGAGTTTGCTCTCTCCGTTCACACCCCTTTGCAGAATATATTGTGCACATGGTCAGTCTCTACAATATACTCACTGCGACACTGAACCTCCCAGAGCTCGTCCCGGTCCGTCACGGCCATCCTCGGCCTCCGAAGGGCCCCCGGCCGCGGCGCGGTGCGGCGGCGTCACAAATCCGACGGCAGAGCACCGGGACGCGGCCGGGCGATCCGAGGCCCAACTAGGCGTATGCATTGCCTATCCAGGGCTATCACCTGGACCTATCAACAGGCGCCTGCGGCGCCGTGCTCAGGAGTTGGTTTTCACTCACTCGAAATGTGGACGTAAAAGGGTTAAGTCTTATTCGTGGACTAACGAACAACGAATTTTTTTAACGAATTTCATATTCGCTGGGGTGCGCTTCTTAGCTCCCCGGCCCTGGATGTGAGGCTGCCGACTGCACTCCAAGTGCTCCAAGTGCTCGCGCGGTTGAAGTCAAACAAAGTTGGTATTGCTAAAAATCTCTCTCTCTCTCTTGAAGTCACAACACGCGGCTGCTTTTACTTCACCCTCACCCATTTTTCATACTCACGCGCCGCGATGCATACAGAGTGTTGAAAAAAAACAGACCCAAGGGAGGGATGGGAGGACGGCACGCCGCCACCACACAGGGATTTTAAGGAGAGGAGTGTGGTGCTAGAGGACAGAGGGGCGCGAGAAATTCTTTTGGCTATCGCGACAGCCAGGCCACAGCCCGCTCTTCACGAGGCTGCTGGGCGCGAGGTGAGGCCGCTCGAGCATGCGCCGCCTCCAGCCCGCTCTGTGGGCCCTCCTCGTCGCGGCGACCGGCTGGGTGATGGGCTCCGTGGAGCTGACGCAGGCGCTCATGACGACGGCGGGCGGGCGCTTTGAGACGGCGAGCGGGCTGCGCTCGAGCGCGTTTCTGGTCTCGTTTGGGCTGTCCAAGGCCGCGAGTAACCTGGTGGTCGGCTGGCTGGCGGACCGCGCTGGCCGCCGCACAGCCATGGCCGTCGGCTGGCTCGCCGGCGCAGCTGTCGCCCCGATGATCCACTTTGCACAGGCGTGGGAGGTGGTCGTGGCGTCGGACGTCCTGCTCGGCATCCAGCAGTCCTTCTGCTGGTCGGCTGGCATCTTCGCCATGCTCGACCTGCTCGGGCCGAGCAGGCGCGGGCTCGCCATTGGCCTGCTCGAGACGCTCGGCTACATCGCCATCGCAGCCTCGCGCTCGGCCATCGCCGCCGCCGGAGGGTCGTGCGGCGAGGACCTCGCGCTCGGGCTCGCCGGCGGCGTGTGCGTCGCCGGCGCGCTCGTCTCCGCCGCCTGCCTGCGCGAGACAAATCGGCCGCCGCCACCCGCCGCGCCCGCAAGCCCTGCGCACGACTCCGTCCACCTGGCGGCAGACGGCTCGGCCGGCGGCGCGAGGGGCGGATGCTGCTCGGCGAGCGCGGCGGCGCTTGCGGCGTGCTGCGTGGCGGGCTGCACGCTCAACTTCGGCACTGCCTTCGCGTGGGGCGCCATGACTCGCTGGCTCACCAGCCGAGAGTGCGGCGGCGGGACCTGCGCCGCCGCCGCCGTGTGCACTGGCGGCGGCGGCGGCGGCGGCGGCGGAGGGCTTGCGGCGAGCGTGCTCGTGGGCTACTCAGTGATCAAGGGCGCGGGGCAGCTTCCTGCGGGCGCCGCCGCGGACCGGAGGCTTCCTTGCGGCGCGGGTGCGCGCGGCCCCTCCTCCCTTCGCCAGCCGAGGGATGGCGCTGCCCTGTGAGCTGCGTGTGCGGGCGAGCTGGTAGGCGCGTGGAGCTATGTGGTGGTCGGGCTCGGCCTCTGCTCGGCCTCGCTCGCCTGCTTCTCGCTCCTCGTCGCCCTGGACGAGCCGCTTGCCCCCCTCCCTCCCGCCAACGAGACCGCGCCCTCGGGCGAGGAGGGGGTAGCGGAGAGGCCTCCCCCCGAGCCGTCCTGCGGGGACCCTTGCCGGAAGCTCCTCTCTAGGCGAGGAGGGGCGGGCGGAGAGGCCGCCGCTGAGCGGCGCCGCCGTCGGTGCGGCGGCGGGCCTCACCTCGCTGCTCGGCCTGGGCACCGCCCTAGCGTACGCCAACTTGCAGGCGTGCGCCGCGCCGCTCGTGCCGCCCCACCGCTCCTCCTCCGCCATCGGCGCCGTGCGGTGCGTGCGAGACTTGGGCTACGCCGTCGGAGGCGTCGCCCTCGGCGCGGTGAGCGATTTGTCGGGCCGGCCTTGGGCGGCGCCAGCCCTCGGGGCGGTGGCAGCGGCAGTGGCCGCCGCCCTGTTTGAGGGCGCGCGTGGGCGTGCGATCGCCGCCGAGAAGGCGGCGGGGGGGTTTGGGGCCACGGGATTGCGTGCCGGTGGTGCGGCGCCGTCCCGCCGAGAGGCGCGAGGGCGTTGCGCGAGCGGCAGCGGCGGAGGAGACGTGAGCTTGCGAGCGGTCGGCGAGAGTACCGAGCACACCGTGAGCGTGAGGGCGGCTTTGTGAGGTTGCGCCCAGCCCAAGCGTCGGGGTTTCCGGAGCTCGCCCTTCGAGTGGGCGTGACTTCTTCTTTTTTAGCCCAAGTTGCTCTCCGCCGAGCGGGCTGTCAGAGAGAGGCCAGCTGTCGGAGGCAGAGGGAGGCGATGGAGGTGGAGACGAGAGTGATTCAAGAACCCAGTTCAATGGCTGGCAATCGTACTAGCGACAACCACACTCCCGCCGTCCCGACTCTCCTCGAGCTGTGCTGCCGCACTGTGGACAGCCTGACCATCATCAACCTGGACAACGCGCTGGACGTCCTGCACTTTGGACGGTCACATTCCATTCCGGCGCTCATCCAGCGTGGCGAGGCCTTCATAGTGAACTCCTTTTCCGGCCTCACCACCAAGCACAGCAGCGACACCCTAGCGGCCGTCATCGGCGAGCCCAGCTACTCGCGGCTCCGGCGAGAGGCAGAGGAGCTCGCAGAGCAGACGGCAAAGTTGCGCCAGCTGGGCGTGGTGGTTGAGCCGCCGCCGCCGCCGCCGCCACCGCTGCCGCAGCAGCAGCCGTTGCAGCGAGCCTCGTCTGCTCCGCCGGTGCCGCCTCCCGCGGTGCCGCCTCGCGCGGCGGTGAGCGCTGCGGAGCGCGCGAGACGGCGCTTCAGCCGCGCGGCGTCCGCGTCGACCGAGAAGTGCGAGACGTGCCAGAAGTCTGTCTACCCCGCCGAGAGGCTCGCGCCCGTCGAGGGCCGCGTCTGGCACAAGCAGTGCTTCCGGTGGCGGATACAGAGGCCGCGCTGGCATGCCCCGGACATGAACTCTGACGTCTCCGAGACGCGTCCCGCAGGTGCGACCAGTGCGGCTGCAAGCTCACCGTCTCCGCGTTCGTGCTCTCCTCGGACGACGGGGCGCCGCTCTGCAGGCCGCACGCCGCGCAGCGCCGCGCCGCCGCCGGCGGGTCGTACGGCGGCGGGGGCGGCGGGGGCGCGAGCAAGCCCGTGCCGATGAGCCGCGCTGCCCTGGCGGTGCACGAGGCCGCCTGCCAGATGATCGACGAGCACCGGCGCGCGTGGGGAGGGAGCCATTGCGTCCGCTGCGCGAAGCCAGTCTACGCGATGGAGCGGCAGCTCGCGAGGACGCACCGCGGCGACAACCTCATCTTTCACAAGGCCTGCTTTCGGTGCGAGGACTGCGGCACGCTGCTGCGGCCAGACAGCTGGGAGGTGCACGGGGACGCGGCGGCGCTCGAGGCTGGACGCGGCGCCCTGTTGTGCCGAGTCCACTTCGCGGCGCGCGTGCAGGCCGAGGGAGGGAACTCTTCATAGAGGAACGATCTCGGTGGCGCTCTGACAGCGCCAACAGCATCTAGAGCCCTGTCCCCTGGGTGGGAAAGCATCGGCGCGCGGCTCTCTTGTCGGTGCGCGCTTTTGTGCGGCATGGGCGGGGGGAAGCATTTTGAATTTTTGGAGATTGGAGAAATTTCGTCTCACTGCACGTGTGCACCGCGCCCCGGCCCCCGCCGGCACCCCGCTGTGCGCGGCTGATCCCGCCCTGGCGCCTGGGTGAGGGGGTGCGCTCTCACGCTCACCGCACGCACGGCCCCACGGGCACGCGACAGCTCTGAGACTGAGTCTGACACGTCACAGGGTCAGACGTTCCTGAGAGGTGAGAGAGAGGTAGCCGTGAAAAAAAGCTCTAGAGGGGGAGAGGAAAAAGAGGTAAGGTCGCTGTCGTCGGAGAGGAGCAGGTCGTCTTCACACGTGTACGTGTCTCACCCCGCCAAGCATGATCATGTGCGCGTAGTCGCGCCGGTCGCGGTCACACTCACAGCGTCACACCAGACACGCCTCAGCGAGTGTGCACCGCGTGACGCCACGCGGCCGGAGACCCGCGCGCCCCGCGTCTGCGACCCCGCCCGGTGTGAGGGCTGCGAGCGCCTCGTCGCCGGGCTCGTCGCTCGCGTCGCCGCTCCGGCTCATCACACAGGCGGCCGCCCAACTAAAGTCGCTCCAACTCGGCGAGGCGGCGCCCGCGACGCGGCACAGCGCCGCGTGCCGCCGCCGCAGGTCTGCCCGCTGGGCGGCCGCTCGCTCCGCCAGCACAGGGCCGCAGAGCGACAGCACGTGCCGCTGCGCCCACATCAACGGCAGGCTCTCCTCAAACGCGCGGCGCGGAGGCAGTGTGCGCAGGTATGGCGCCCATCGCGATGCCGACCCGCCGGCCGCCTCCTCGAGCAGCGCGAGGATGAGGCGGTCCGTCTTCGCGAGCGCTCCGGCGGAGTGGGAGCGTGGCGTAGCGGTGAGGAGCAGCGCGTGAGGCACGACGAGGAGCACGTCGCCTCCCGCCACCGGCCGGGCCGCGTAGAGGCCGCGACCGCTCCGCCGGCTCTCGCCGAGACGGACGCTGCGCGAGCAGGCGCCGCCGTGCGCCAAGAGCCAGTCGTCCAGTCCCTCCATCTCGGACTCCTGCCGACCGTCTTTTCCCCCATTTTGACCAAGGCGCCTTCTGAAAGACCCGAAAAAAAACCGCTGATTTCAATTTTGTTGTGTGGTGGCGCACCTCTAGCGAGGCCCGCATAGTATGTGGGAGACTCCTGCCGCCGCCCCTGCCACCCCTGTGTCAGTGTGCCTGTGGTTGCGAGAGACGAGAGAGACTGCCAGTGAGAAGCTGGAGGCAGGTCGCTAGACTGAGATGAGACCGCCAGAAGAGTTGGGAGTCCACCGTGCACCGCGCTGCGAGCCTGTCGTGTCCCTTGTCAGGAGCAGCAGGAGAGCCCCACCTGAGAGAGATTTTTAGCAATACCAAACAAATCTAAGTTTTGTTTGTTCCCACCTGTGCCCCTGATCGTCCTTCCAAAATCCTGCTCGTGCAGGTGCGTGGACCCTGTCCTCCTCCCCCATCCCTCGTTTGGGTTTGTCTGTCTTCTTTCTTTCACTTTCTTTTTGTGTGGTGGCGGCGTGCCGTCCTCCCATCCCTCCCTTGGGTTGTCTGTTTTCTTTCTTTCTTTTCCCTCGTTGGTATTTTTCTTTATTTTCAGGGATCGAGTCTTTTTCTTTCTTTATTTTCATGCCAGTATGCCAAAAAGTCCTCTCTGAGACAGGCATCCCCGCCAAATGCTCAAATGCTCACCCTCGCCGCCATCTCGAGCGGCATGGCCGCTCCCTTGGCCTTGCCCGCCACATGCGGCCGCGGATGGCGCTCGACGAGCCGGTGCCTCGCCCCCCTCACGCCCCCCGGGCCTTCGCCCCCCTCACGCCCCCCGGGCCTTTGGCAAGCCGCTCGTGCGGGACCCCATCCGCCACAGTCGTCTCGGCTGGATCTGCCGACGAGGGCGAAGCGAGGCAACTAACGCTACTCACACGAGGGGCGGCACCGCCGCCGCGGCCTTGCCCTTGGTGGCCTCGCTGGCCGCCTCTCCCTTGCGCGAGCCGCGGGAAACGGCCACAGCCAGGCCCGCGACGAGGACGAGCACGCCGGCCGCCGCGGCGAGCGTGGCGTGGGTGCCAGAGGGGGTTGAGATGGCGCCGGCGGCGAGCTCGAGGTAGTGGTAACGGCCTCCCCCGCCGTGGTTACCACCACCGCCGCCGTAGCCGTAGTGGTGATATCCGCCGCCGCCGCCGCCGCCGCCGCCGCCGTAGCCGCCGCCTTGGTGCCCGTGGTCGTGCCATCCGCCGCCGCCGCCGCCACCGCCGCCGTAGCCGTAGCCGTAGTGATGGTATCCACCGCCGCCGTATCCACCGCCGCCGCCGCCACCGCCGCCGCCGCCGCCGCCGCCGAGCCGGTAGACGGACCAGCCGTCTCGGTCCTCGAGGGTGAGGTCGCCGTGGATCTGCGGGAGCGGCGAGGGTTAGAACTCTTCTCCCTGTGTCTTGCATCTCTACTCACGCGGTCTAGCTGTCGCGCCATGTCGCCGAGCATCCCTTCCTCAGGGCAGCAAGCGCACACGGTCCCGTCCAGAGCCCCTTGGCCGAACTCGAACTTCTCACGGACCGAGAATACGGAGCCGCAGTCGCCGGCACGGCGGTGCACCTCCACCAGCTCGGCGCAGGCGGCCATTGTCGTCGAGCCGAACGATTTAGTGTCAATCGACTTGGGGATGATTGTCGTTCCGGGGCAGCCCCCAAGCACCTATCATGCGGCGACGTCGTGTGTGTGCCAGCTGTCAGCCTGTCGACACACGAGCGACGTGTGCCAGCTGTCAGCCGGTCGAGCGACACGTGCCAGCACAGCGTCTAATAGGATATATGCCAGCGGACCTCGATCCACTTGCCTCTCCCGAGCAGCTCTGCTCGCTGTGCGGTCATCCCGTGCGTGACTGCGAGAAGGACAAGGACCAACAGCCTCATGAGCGATGAGCAACGAGGCGAGCACCACAACCCCTGGTAGGACCAACACGCTCACACCTTGGTGGGGCGTGCGACTGTTTCATCAAGAACTCACTTTTTATTTCGGTGCGATTACAGCGACATCTCCTTCTATCGCCCGTGCCTCGCCGGCCGGCGAGATTGCTAGAGGTAGCCTCGCATGTTACTCCTGTCGTCTGTTGTGATGTTGTGCCCTTCTCGAGGTTCTCGGGGTGGATATCCTTTGGCCGCGTTGGGTAGCGAGGACTGTGCCCTTGTTTGTTTCTCTTTCTTTCTTGGCACCTTGGATGGAGTGCTGGGGGGGGCGACAGGAAGAATGTGGCCCTGAGTTATGTGTACGCCAACTCAGGGTGTGTGGCAGCCAGCTGGCTGTGTGTCTTGTGAGCTTGTTTGTGTCTGTGAGTCGCTCGTGCGTGTCGTCATCAATCATCTGTCTCGCGTCCACCCATACCGCGTTGGTGTCCAGTCCGAGCCTGGCTGTTCTTCACCTTTCTACCTACCTCCCTCCTTCTGCCGTCCTGTGTGGCGGGAGCATTCCGCGTAAATTTCTGGTTGCCTCTACAGTGGCGGTTGCGGGCATTAAGAAAACAGCATTCTCCACTCAGAACACCGTAGACTTGAAAAACAAATCTAGACTTGGGAAGTGACAAGTGCGCGCCGCCCGCAGGCGAAGAGAAACTTTGAGCTGGGGCTTCCGTTCACACTCGTGTCTGGCCTTTTCTCCGGACCGCGCCTTGGAAATCGCCTCGTGGTTTCAGCGAGATGTTTTCTTTAAAAATGCCCCCCCCCCCCCCACCCACCCACTGCAAGAAGATGAAGTCCACCCCTCCGCTGCTGCTCCGAGCGGTGTCCTATCCGAGCCTGACTGTTTCTCATGCCCCTTTACTTACTTACTTGCCGGCCGCCAGGTGCTCCAAGGCAGCGGGGCTGCTCTTTCTCTCTCTCTCTACGGTACATCGTCGGAGACACGAGAACGAACGTGCACTATTGACCAGACAGACAGTAGGAGACGGGCGCGCACATCACTAATACGTAGACACCGTACTGAACAAGACACCAGGCATGGACACTTACCCGGGCCGTCCCGGAAGCCATGCCCATGGGCCATGGGCCTCGCTCTCCCTCGCAGTAGACAAAGCAAAACGCAGAAGACAGATGCGATCCTAGGGGGCTGCTTTGCAGGCCGGCGAGATGTACAACCGCGGCCCTAGTGGCCCTGTGTCGAGCTCACCGCATCAGCCGATGACATTCTTGGGCGCTGCTGGCTGGCCGTCTTGCCCAATGCCGCAGACGTCCAGCACGATGTCCACCTCCTTCCCGACCGTCTTGCACTCGCCCCAGAAGCCCACAGCAAGGTTGGCCTTCGAATGCCCAGGCACCGGTGGCTGGTCCTTCCAGCACTGCTGCTCGGGGGTGGTCCAGTAGCCAGGGAGCTCGCCGCAGACAGCAGACGGGTGTCCCTCCGGGCATTCAAACTTCGTCTTCGACCAGCTCTGGCTGTCGCCGTTCCAGGCCCACGTGTGATCCTTCGAGAACTGCGAGTACTTCCCCTGGCAGTCACCCACCGAGCCCGGGCAGTCGGTGCACCGAGGGTCGAGATCACCCGCAGTCTTCGTGTGGCAAAAGGGCAGATGCTCGTGCTCGGGGCAGATCCTGTAGTCCGGGATGGAGCATTGCAACACAGGCTTGCGCTTGCTGCACTCGGGACTCAGGTTGGACGCATCGCACACGAGACCACCGGCGTCGGCCGCGCAGTCGCTCATATCATCCTTGGCGCTCCAGGCCGCGCCGGCGTCCACGCAGGCAGGCTCGTTCGTGCCCGGCGAGAATGCGACGAGGGACGAGCTCATGCCGTATCCGTACCACGGCTCGACGTCGGGCAGGTTGGTGAGCGGCAGTGGCGCGTTGAGGTCTCCGTTCGTCGCCACCATGAAGGCTCCATTCATCGCGAACGGCATCTCCCACCGCCCATTGTTGCCCTCAATGTCCCAACTCGCGCGCCTCCACTTCAGATGCGCCGCATCCGAAGGGGCTTTGCGCGCCTCGGGAAGCGGACCGCCCCCGCCGAGAAGAAGGTCGCCTGCTCGTGCTTCGGCACCTTGCCAAAGTCCTCCACCTCGATGTCTTCGTCGCAGTTGTTCCTCACACTGAACTTCTTGACGATGATCTGGCCAGCATTCTTGGGCTTGTGACTGGCCTGGCAGAGCGCCAGGTCTGCGCCCTTGCACGCAGTCGCACCATGTGGCGTGCACACGTGATGCGTGTGGTCGTAGCAGCACATCCCCTCTGCGGCAAGGGCCTTGTTGATGCACTCCTCAATGGTGCAGTGGCGTTCGGTTTGGTAGGCCGGGCAAGCGGGCAGGGCCTCGCTGACTGGTGCAGCCATCGCGATGTCGATGGCGGCAGTGGCGGCGATCACAACAAGCTTTGAGAACACCGGCATGGTTGGTATCCTGCGGACACGGCGCGCGGAGAGACGTGAGGCGCGCACTGGAGGGAGGAGGAGCCGCCGCGGCGTCGCGGCGGAGGTGGCGCGGCAGGCTGGCTGGCGGGGGCTGGCAGGGGCTGGCTGGCAGCGCACGTGAGGGTGTGCGGCGAGTTTTGAGAGTCCTGCAACGTCCTTCCTGAACAAGGCCTATGAAAGGCGGGCACCACCTTGCAGGACGTCTGACATGTTTCGATGAGGTGCAGGTCAGAGCAGCTCGAGCGACGGAGGGTGATGAGGGCCGCCGCGACAGCGGTCGATGCTTTTACTAACGATCTTTATGACCGCGCGTCCTGAAAGAAAGAAAGAATTGACGGGGCGAAAGCAAACGAGGGATAGGAGGAGGAGCACCTCTCCTTAAATCCCTGTGTGGTGGCGGCGTGCCGTCCTCCCCGCCTCTCCTTGGTTTG